AAGTCTTTTTTATAGAAATTAAAAGTGGTGGGGATCGACAGGTGGCATGGTGGTTAAGGCGCTGGACAGTCCCACTTGGCCGACCGTGGTTCGAGTCCCGGACCTGGCGGCTTGCTTTCTCACTTTCCCTCTCTCTCGGTGTCTCTCTCTGCTCCAACTAAAATAAGCGAATGAATAAATAATTCTGTAAAAAACAGCCTGGGCCAGCAGTAGGGTGGGGGTTAAGGCACTGAACTCCACTTGGCTGACGGAGGTTCAAGTCCTGGACTCGGCGGCTTGCAAAAGCAACTGAGCACGAGTGTGTACCCAAGCCCTGGGAGGGCACTGGAGGAGAAGGGTGGCCATGGCCCCGGGTTGAGGTCTCCCTTGCTCCCTCTCTGCCTGTCTCTGCTGCATGAGAGTGCACACGCCCCACGGCATGGTAAGGCTGTCTGCGGGCCGTGCACACGTCAGGGACACACGGCGTGGGCAGGAAGCCAGGGAGCGCCGCGTGCTTTTCATCCCCTTAATAAGGCTGAGGGGATTTTCGGCGTGACCAGCTGGGCGCGTCCTGGCAGCCGCCCGGCAGCCAGCCACTGCTCAGAGGGTGGCTAGGGTGGGCACCGAGGGAAGCAGGACACGCACACGGCGAGCCCGGCTGGCGTGGAAGGATGAGCTCCCCGGACGCCCAAGCCTACCGTGTCCTGAGCGAGTACGCCAACGGATTCATGGTCTCCCAGGTAAGGACTCCCGTGGGCACCACCGCAGACCTGGCCCCGGGACCCGGGTGGGCGCCTCTGTGCTCTGTCACCTCTCTCTGGGGCTTGGCCGTTGGCTGTAGGAACCTCTTCTGGGACCAAAGACCTAGACGCACAATGACTTTTAAAAAATAATCGTCGTCTTTATCATCGTTAGTATTATTTTAAAGAATGATTTTATTTATTTATTTTCGTGTGACCAGAGAGACAGAGAAAGTGAGAAAGCAAGCCGCCAGGTCCGAGACTCGAACCGCGGTCGACCATGTGGGAGTCCAGCGCCCTTCACCACCACACCACCTGCTGGGCGTGATTATTATTATTATTTGAAGCTTTGGTACAGAGCGCATGTGCTCACCAGAGTCACAGAGAGAGGGAACGTGACAAAACAAACTGCTAGGTCCGGGGCTCCAACAGCGGTCAGCCATGTGGGAGCCCAGTGCTCTGAGCCACCATGGCACCTGCTCCTGAGAATGATTTTTGTCTTAGTTACCAGAGGGCGTGTGGACTTGCCAGAGACACGCAGAGGCAGAGACAGAGGGGGCGAGAACACCCCCAGTGGGGCATGGGGACACAGCAGTCCCTCCTCCATGTCTCCATCTGGTCGGGATACTGGGCACACACACACACACACACACACACACACACACACACACAGACACCTGGCGTGTCTTTCTAGCTCCCGGGGCCGGCATTCAAACTCCGGTCTGCCATATGGGATCTGTCTGTCCTAACCGCTAGGCTGTCGATTTGTCCCAGAATGTCTTCCTCTTTCTTTGTTTTTCTTTGTATTGATTTATCTGTTCATCGTGGTTTTCCACGCTGCCATGTCCAGGACTTGAACCGCGGTTGGCCACGTGGGAGTCCGGTACCTGACTTGACCCATGGTTGGCCACGTGGGAATCCGGTACCTGGACCCCCGTGGCACCGGCCAGCCCTGTTGTAAAGGTTCAGATAGGTCCCATCACCATGGTGTGCGATGCGGAGACACTGTGGTCTGCAGGCTGGGGTCCCCTGGGAGACCCGGCCTCCGGTCCCGGTCTCCCTCAGGGCCGTAAGCCCAGTGGTCCTGGGAGGCTGACCCGGGAAGGTCACAAGTCTGAGACCAGCCTGAGCCCCCTGGTGAGACCCTGTCTTAAAAAGACCCGGGTCAGGACCAGCAGAGGGTGCAGGACAGTTACGTCTCCGGCCTCCCACATGGCTGGCCCCCGGTTCGAGTCCTGGACCCAGTGGCTTGAAACCCACGACCGGCCTGTGCGTGTGTGTGCCCAAGATCCCAGGATGAAAGCAGAGAAGGGATTGCGGTGTGGCCATCCCCCTGGGGCTGATTTCTCGCTTTCTGTCTGTCTGTCTTTCTCCCTGCAAGTGTGCGCCCTAAGGCAGAAACGTCTAAAAACAAAAATAGACCCAAGTCTGCAGGTGGGTTACACCTGCGGTCCCGGGTGCTCTGGAGCTGCAGGCAGGGCTCAGCACACCGCAAGACCCCGTCTTAACACAAAGTGGGGCCTGGCCTTCCATGCAGTGTGAAGGTGGCTGGATCCTACATGGCCGACCCTTTTCAGTCCCAGACCTGGTGACTTGAAAAACACACCAGGCTTGGGGCCGGCAGGGGGCGTGGCGGCTAAGGGCACTGGACTCCCACATGGCTGATGGTGGTTCGAGTCCCAGACCTGGCAGCTTGCTTTCTCACTTCCCCTCTGTCTCTCTCTTTCTTTCTGTCTTTCTCTCTGTCCCTCTCTGGTCAAATTAAAATAAATAAATAAAGTTAGATACAATTCTTATTAAAAACAAGAAGACCCTGGTACAGCTTTCGTCCCGCGGGCAGCTGCTGGAGCGTGCCCAGGAGCAGAGCCCACACACATCAGAGGACAAGGTCTGCCCGGGCAGCGCGAGCACAGCCGGCGTGAACGCGTGGGCCACCTGACGGGGCACCTCGTAACACAGCCCGAGGGCGACACGGACGGAGGGAGCCTTGGTCGGTGCGTCTCAGCAGCCTTAGTTCCGTGAGGGTGAACGGTTAGCCAGCGTCTCCGCACGTGTGTGTGTGTGTGTGTGTGTGCGTGCGTGTGCGTGCGTGTTAGAGAGGGAATGCACCCCAGGCGATCTCACTGCAGGAGTTTTCCTCCACTCCTCATCCCAGTCAGGATTCAGGGCATGCACGCACGGCCGCCTAGTGTCTTTTGCTTTTTCTTTCTTTCTTTTTTTTTCTTTTTCTTTTTTGAGAGATTTTTGCTATAGGACTTGTGCACTCACCAGAGAGACAGAAAGCGAGAACTCACCCCCCAGGGGGGATGGCCACGCCGCAATCCCTTCTCCTCCATTCTCCTCTCGGGATCTTGGGCAC